TTATTATCCAGTCAGATATACTCTGCAAACATCTTACTAAGGCTTAATTTTAACAACCTTGCTCAAGCTTACCTCATCACAAGCTTTTTTCTTAGGTACAAATATAAAACATTTTTGTACCTGAAAGAAGGACTGACAAAAGTAACCAGCATTTTTAAAGCACTTTTCAATATTGCTATTGTTTAAATGACACTCCGCTAATTGCATTGTTCTTAGCTTGAATCCCATGCTTCAGAAGAAACTTTGAGGATAACTGAGTAAAGAGTAATTTGCAGTGGTTCAGTTTTGGAGATGTGCAATGATCCGGTATATTCTCTGCTAGTAATGTACAAGATGGCGATACCATTATAAACTTGCTAGTGACCATTTCAACAGTTATGCTCTATGAAATGCCAGTGTCTATACATTTATTTTGATAAATCTGGGTAATCGATACCCAGAGGGTTAAAACAGTTCCTGACCCTCTGGATGGTTAGAGTGAAAGACTCTCAGCGGTACAGTCCGAATAGGCCATCACCATTTTAGTCTTTTACAATCACTTAAGCAAAAAGAAAAAGGGATTTTTTTTTTTTACCCAGAGAAAAGTCTCCCTTTTGTAATCATATTTGCTTTTAATCAAAAAACCGTAATTTTGATGCTTTAAAGGCAAAGACAATAATTTCTACCGCTTCTGACACAACCTATTTGGAATTCAGGACGACGAGGAAGGCAATTAACTGACATTTTTCTACATAATAATATAAGTTAAGGCTCTAAGGCTTTGTCTACACTAGGGAAATTTAGACGAGTTTCTCACTGTTGCTGACACTGGCGTGGCCAAGGCACTGCTAGGAATATGCAAGGTCTAATGCAGACAAACTCACCAGCCTCAAAAATTGCTGTCAGCAGTTAAGGCTTTCTTGGAACAGAGCAGGAATAACATTCACAGGTATAAATATCGCTACACAAGTAATCCAAAAACTGATGGGTAAGACTCACTGCCTCTTCAAAGGAAATTTATAACAAGCCTATTGTTTACCCAAAAATATTCCCAAATAATGTCACCATCCTTCCTTAATTCTTTTACTTTGTTAAAGCCTCCATTTCTTTAAAAGATATTTTAACTTTGAATAGTCTACTCCTAAATATTTCTTAAAATTACGAATTCTTTAAAATGTTACTTTTGAATAAAACCAGGAAGGTGAATGCTTGAATTATTTTCTGAGAATGTAATTTTTTATCAGCATCTCTGTAGAACAAACCCTAAAAGATGCTTTATAATATGACTTCCTCACAACACGAATCTGATTCTTTGGTGCCTATCATCACACTTGCACAATATTTAAAAGCTACTCCTCCACCTGAATGGTGCTTTTAAATGAAACTTTTTCTATTTGAAAAATAAATCATTAAAACATTGCTGGAAGGAATATGGTTACAAATGAGGATATTGGCAGAAATCCAATGTTATTGGGAAGGTAGGATATTCACACGAGTCCCGCTGCCAATGGTGATTAATTAAAAGCCGTTAGATACCCGAAGCCCTAACAGTTCATTCAATATGATTCCCATTGCAGGAACGACCTGCTTTCGCTGACAAGATACTTATGCAGGCAAAAAAAAGGAAAAGGAAAATCATGATAGCACTGCTCAAAGACACAAAGATATAAATGTTCATGTTTTATTTATTGTCCCAGCTTTTAGTCTGGTGGTTTGCATATCAGGAGAGGTGATTTCTGTCTCCACAGTATAGTTAATCAAGAAATCCACACAAATCAGATGGTGGAACTGCAGAGATCTGAGGCTAAAACCCCTGGGACTATGGAGTAACAGAGAGGTAATGGAAGAGCAAATGAATGCAGAGAATGTGGAAGATGGCAATGGAAAAGATGGAGGAATGATGAAAATGCCAAGTGGTGAGAGCAAAAAAAACCTCCAACACTTCACAAGTTTATCTGTTGGTGTTACAGATTTTGTTTGCAGCAGATGCTTCAATTTCCTTGCGAACAGTGCAGAATTTGGCAATTATCAATGAAAGACATCTTTCCATAAGCATGAAGGATTTAAAATTATTTGCAATTTTTACATTTGCTTGAAGCAGTTTGGATCCTAAATTATACAAGAGAATACCCTCAACAAAGTCCAGTTCCTCTGATATGCACACAGAGAGATAAATCTTTCCCCCATCAGTCACACATCCTGCTGACACCTGCTCTCCAGATGTTGGATGAGCATCACATTGCATACTAAATAACTATCGTATTGCCAATTAATATATTTTCACATACATAACACAAAATTAGATTTTGAGATCTTCCTAGGTAACTGACAGAAATTTAGGACTAATAAGACACCATCTTTAGTGAGGCAAGCCTATACAATCATCAGATTACACTGACATCAAACGAGAATCAAGAAAAACAACCCCAAAACACCCACCTTACAGTCTGTGTGCTAAGGAAAAGCTAACAGGTGAATAGGAACATAGGGCTGAATTTTCTCTCTAAAGTAATATCTGTGATGCTCTACAAAACCAGTATGTAGTTCTACTTCATAGAAAACTGATAATATGAACCACAGGGAGCAATCTAGGTATCAGGACACCCCACCCGGCCCCACCTCCCCAGCTATATGTAAAAATAAAGCACATCATCAGTGTTGTAGTGGTTTTTGGTTCTTGGGTCAGAGAATCTGTGTTTCTAGCAATCAGGTTGTAAACACATACAGTTGAGCTACACAAAGATTCAAAATCCAAGTAACAAGAAGTCAACCAAAGATTGTGGGAATTCATACTGCTTTATATACCTACCCTTGAATAAAGTCTCTTATTTACAACTGTTCAACTAAACTAAAAAAAAATCAAACCAAATTAAAATAGGACTCTTTTCAGTCTGTGAAGTGAGCCACTAAAAATGGTTCATTAGTCAGAACCAAACCCAGATTATGTGAATCAGACATTTTTTACTTATTTTGTTATGTACTGCTTTGCCAATTACGTATTAATTTGGTTAATATAATATGATCTTAGCTTCTTTCCGCAAATCTTTGGAAGTTACTTGAATAGGCACTAAATATGTATGGTCTTTAAACATCAGGCAAAGGGAGCAAAGGATAATTTCGGTTGTACATTACATGTTCTTGAGTCTAAGGAAGTAAGTTCAATACAGCACACTGGTAAAGAGTTCACAGCCGCACATTTACTCCACTTACTTGTGTAGATAACCTTGTTTCTAGAACAGGAATACAATTCCTACTCCACTTTAAAAGTACATTTTACCTTGATTCAAATTTTCACTCATGGTCGCAAGCTAAAAAATGCTTTAATTTGAGTTAGCATAATAAATTTTGGATTAAACTTATTAAGACTAAGTCACTCGTATCCCCACAAAGATGAGTTCAAATTGTAGACAAGGGTTCCTAAGCATTCAATGTGTATTAATCAGATTTTCTCAAGACAAGTTCTTCCTCAAAGTAGTTCCAGTATGAAACAGATACATAAAATATTAGATAAACTATTATCTCACACAAAGTGAGAAACTCCTCTAAGGCCACACTGGAAGTAAAGAAATTGTTTACCTTAACTATTTTCAACTATACGACTACTAGTTTAATACCTGTTATGTGATATTCATTTAGTAAAAACCTTAACGTCCTCTCCTCTAGAGAATACCAGAGCCACAGAGACCTACCTGCCATTTGTTTTGCATGAGAATTTCGAAGAGGAAGGTCTTGTTAAAACCCTCCAGCACACGTGCAGTGAAGTCTCACAGGGCTACAGCGTGCTCCTTCTCCCCGAGCCTTGTCTTTGACAGGGAGAAAGGATGACACGAGGGTTCGCCCGCTCTGGTGCTTCGCTTGCCCTTCTTGGCACCCTGCGTATACGTCTTGGGACCATCCCGAACTGACGGGGCTTGAAGACTTCCAGTCTGAGGCCTGGACCTCTGCTCTCCCTGCCCTGAAACAACTGGTAGATGGCACTTGAGAGAAAAATGCCTTTTAGCTAAGGCGCTGGGTGGACTCGGGAAAACTGGATTCAATTCCTGGCTTCGCAATGGATCTTATTGACGACCCTGGGCAACTACCTGTGCCTCGGTACAAAACCTCCTGCCCCACGCGAAACTGTTTTCAGACTGTATTTGTTAATATTTGACAGAGGCTGTGCTAGGGCTCTACTTCAATGGGTGCACAGTGTGGGAAGCAGGTCAGAGCTCAGGATGATGTTTGAGACTAGAGCTATATATCACACCAATGAACCGCAGTTTCTAACTTCTTTCACATCATCTTTTATACCCCATGCAATCACTTCATGTGTTTAGCATTTCTATTACTAGTATTACACGTCTATTTGCACAAAATTTGTCCCTGACATTATAGAAGATAAAGCTATCACAGTTTTATTGATTGAGCAGAGACATCTACATACGTTTTCCATTACTACTATGCCATGCAGGTTGAGGAACTGACATATTTAACTAAGCAGAAATGAAGAAATACAGAAAAAGAAAATAGAGAGACAAGATGACTCAGCCAAACCTACAGCCCTATAGATTTCTAAATATCCTATAATTTTTAAAGTTTCTGTGACAGAACCGAGCTCTCCAGCTATCACTTCAGTATTTTAACTTGAACGTAATCCTTGGCAGAATGCATTCAAGAAACTGGAGTTACGTGTATTGTGTTGAAACATATCACGCAGATGTTAATATGCAGATGCAGGAAGAAAATACATCTTCATTTTGACAAGGAAACACAAAACTTTAGATAGTATACAGAAAAGCACACTAAGCAATGATTAATGAGCATTTGTCTAATGAAGGGGCTGCTAATTAGGCCTCCATGCCTAATTAGCAAATATTAATCTGCTTTAATTAATCAACCTTAAGAAAAATGACTATTTAAAAATAATGGCTTAGAAAAATTAAAGCAAATACTACCCGCAGACTGTACAGAAGATTTTTTGGTGATCATATTCTGCTGACAATGCATCAGATTTAACAAGGTAGAGCGAAAGAAGAACTGACCTCCCGAGGACAGACGATTCTCTTGGGACGTGGTGCCTCTTGTTGCAATTGATACACTGTCAAACACAAAAATGTACAGATCATTAGAAGATGGCAACATACACAAACTTTTATTCAGATGAGTCTTTTTAGCCAGAGGCTGCAGAGAAAAATGCAAATGTAAAGAAAAGGACAGCAAACAGAGGTATTTCAGTGTATCTAAGTCATCTCTATGAAAATCGGTTGTTGACCTGCAAACTAACTAAAGTGATCATTGATTTAACTTTTAGAAGTATTATCTCCTTTTGTACTTGTTATCACATTTCTATACCAGGGAAGACTAGCTAGAAAGATTTACGAGGTGTATCTCAGGATAAAATCTCACCTTCGCACATACCATGCTGTAACAACTCAGGAACAGATTGCTTACCAGTAACACCAGCGGTTTTTTGGATAGGCCAAGAAAAAGTTAAGCACATTTGAAAGGGTTCACCACATTCTCATAATTTATTTCAAGATTTGCTGGCAATTACTGACGAGCAAGCAAACCTTCCTTTCAGAGCAATTACGCCCTAATCAAATGGCCCTGGATCAATTTTGCGAATCTTCTGAGGGCTGGAGGAGAGAGACCTGAGGCTAGGGGTAGTCGCTGAACCCCGGCCCCCAGCCTCTTCACTGCCTGTATTTAATGAGATCCTCTCCTTCCTTTCCACTCCAGAGTCGTGAGAAGAAGCAGACGTGCAATGACATTAATCAATTCCAGAGCAGACAGACTGTCTCTCCGTAACTCCAGTAAAAATCCCAGAGGTTTGGATTGCCTCCCTCGAGAAAGGCCTTCTGTATGCTGACCTTCGTGTATTTGGAAAGATCATGTCGTGTCTATGAATTGTTTTAAAAGATCGAGTTCCTAGGACAGGGCTCTTCATAATGCTTGTGAAGCTCAGAATTATGCCCCGAAAGGTGGTAGATTATGGGAGGAATATAAATGCCTGTAGATTTGATAAATACAGAAGCCCTGTTGCAGAAAGTGAATTGAAATGGTAGGTTTTATTCTTCAGCACTTTCTCCCACCTTATGCACCTTCTCCTTAAATGGGGCTAGGAGGGATGCAATCTGAGAAGTGGGGAAGCCCTCGGCTTGCACCCAAGTTTGTCACTCAGGGGATGTGAAAGCTTTGGGGGCTTATGTTCTCTGCTAATGTCAAAGTGGAAACAACCATAACCTCTCCTTTTCCCAACTCAACCTTCATCCCTGGTTCCTCGGAGGGGCACTGAAAGAGAGTTCATGATTTCTTATATTCCCTATCAGTTTTAATGCACATGGATGTGATCCAGCTCTGATTTGTACTAAGGCTTTGGATTTAACCTGCATCATTCGTGTCCAGAGAAGGGCAACAAAGCTGGTGAAGGGTCTAGAGAACAAGTCTTATGAGGAGCGGCTGAGGGAACTGGGGCTGTTTAGCCTGGAGAAGAGGAGGCTGAGGGGAGACCTCACCGCGCTCTACAACTACCTGAAAGGAGGTTGTAGCGAGGTGGGGGTTGGTCTCTTCTCCCAAGTAACCAGCGACAGGACGAGAGGAAATGGCCTCAAGTTGCGCCAGGGGAGGTTTAGACTGGACATTAGGAAAAATTTCTTCACTGAAAGAGTGGTCAGGCCTTGCAACAGGCTGCCCAGGGAAGTGGTGGAGTCACCATCCCTGGAGGGATTTAAAAGACATGTAGATGAGGCGCTTAGGGACATGGTTTAGTGGGCATGGTGGTGCTGGGTTGACGGTTGGACTTGATGATCTTAGAGGTCTTTTCCAATCTTAACGATTCTATGATTCAGCACTGCCAGATCTCCCACTACTTTTGCACAAGATTCATGATAACTTGTGGTCTTTCTTACCTCTTGCAATTGTGTGACTAAGACTCAAAGCCTTCCTTTTACTCTTTTGTGATCAAATTACTTGTGTGCCCAAAAGAATTGCCAAGCAAAGCATGAAAATTTTGCTTCAAAAATCGTAGATTGTTTTTTAAAACTCTGATTATTCTGGAGCCCAATATAATGATTTTAGAGTCCATTTCTGAATGTCTGAAATCAGCATAACCACTGATTCAGGAAGTTACTGCTGCTTAATACTAAACATACCCAAGAGGAAAAGAGTAACTTTTTTCTTCCCCCCTACATTTCCAGTAAAGAGAAGAAACTAAGGATTCAAAATATTGCAAGAATATGATTGCTTCCCATTTAAAGTAAAAGATCTATTTCCCCAATTTATTAATTTCAATTTCAATTGAAAAATCATACTTCATAAAAATCCTATTTTTCAATAATCAAACCTGTTAAATATTAACTGACGTAGAAAATTAAGCTAATGGATCTGTTTCTGAGATAACCTTGATGGCTGTGGTGCAAAACAAGTTGGTCTGAAGAACACATAGGAAGCCTATCTTGTGATGTGCTGCATTTGTAAGACATGAGAAAAGCAAAGAGCTCTCTGAAATGACCAAAAGGATCTCTGAGGCTGATAGCACTGGAGAAGCAAGGGTGGGAAGAAGAGTCAGCATTTCACAAAACAAAGGAAGGAATGACTAACAGGAGAGGGCAGATATACGAAAGACTTGAAAGCAATCACAAAAAACTGGATGCTGATAGGATGCAGTGGGATGAATCAGTGCAGGGATTCATGATGAATGCAAGGAAGACAAATCATCTTAACAACTATTTTGAATAGACTGGAAAAGGTTGCTGTCATTCTCAGAGAGGCTCGGGTAATTAATCTGCACAATAATCTGAACTGAGAAAGATATCTGATTTAGAAATACATCAGAGGAAAATGTAGTAAGATTATTACTATGCAAATAAATAATAATAATAATAATAAATTATATGCTGCCTTAAATGTGCAGGATGAGAAAATGACCCCAAGTAACAAGCATGATTGAGATTGTGAATGATGGTAATCACAGAAAACATCATGAATGGGAAATGGTTTCCTGGGAAAGATAGAGAATTCAGATTTGGTCACACCAGCTTTAAATTGAAAGACATCAAACTGACAGAAAGACAACCCAGGGGAACTACTGGAGAGAGATGCAGAACCATGAGATGGAGGGAGAGAAGACAGATCGGGAACAGAAAGAAAGGACTGAGAACCACCAGTGGCATCGTGGTAAGGGACGTCAAGCAGTTCAACAGGAGACAAACAACAGAGAAGAGACAGATAGGCACACGGCTGCCAAGGATACCCAGAAAAGACACACAGCAAGGCAAGGGTGAAGGAGGTAAAACAACAGTGAAAGTGCAGTTAAGTGAAAAACTAGGAAAAGGCAATATCTCACAGACTAAGGTATTATGGAGCAAAGCAAGTGTGACCCTACCAAAAGCTGTGTTCTTCTCTAGAAAGATTCTCTCCTGTTTCTGCTTCAAATGATTGCTATGTGAAAGCCTGCTAATGGGCTATGAATACAAGTGCAATATTATGGCTAAGGTGACTTGAGAAAAATGTGCCCTACAGCTAAGTTCCAATAAGCGTAGACACCTCATTAAGTGACCTCATTTTCAGAAGTGCTGAACATCCTGCAGCTCTGCCCGATTTCATTACAGACTTTTTCCAAAGTGCTGGGCACTCACACTCTGGCTGACATTGCTGAGACCCCGGCAGAGTCCAGGGGATGGTCAGAAGTTCAGAAAGCTCATGCCCCTCACTTACTTGCTTGAATGACAAACAAGCCTTGCCCTTCTGCCTCATTTTCCCCCCTCCACCTCTGAAAATCTTAAAACAGAATCCAATGTATAGGATATGGTTAACTGAAATAATAGAAAAACACATTTATTTAATACAGTGGTAAGCAGTGAATGACATCTGACCCATTCCAGCATTTAGAACTGACAGGCAGGTTAGAGACAAACCCACTGTGATCATAAAAAGGATGACACTTGAACATAATGATGCGTTATTATTTTAGCCCTGAGAAAATGAATCTTACAAAAAGTCAACTGCATGCAAAAAGAAAATGTATTATTACTGCTTGGAGAACAGCATCAGACTGGGAGTAGCTTTTTGTTCAGCATCAGATGCAAATGAAACACACAGTAATAAGACACACTTAGATATTAGACCAAATGCAGCACTGCAATAGAAAAATGCCCTTGAACATCTTTATCAGTTTCATAATTCAGATAGTTTGCCAGCATTCATATTATCATAATCACATGGGAACTTATAAAGTTAACAAAACTTTAATTTATTATTGAATTTCTAGGGAAACCCTTCTTTGAGATGTAAAGTAACTAGTTAGAATCTCTCTCTCTCTTTTCTTCCTGCTAGAGGATGAGTCTTGTCTCATGGGATGAATAAGGCAAATTCTACAACATGTTTTAGAAAGAACTGTCTAATTCTGAAATCTGATCTGTCTAAGAAACAAAGGGATGACATGCAAAAATCAACACTTACTCCTTTTCTGCCAGGGAAGAAGGACTATCACCAAGTTTCCTCATACTTTTTTCATTCTGCAGTGTGTCAAGAAGTCAAGCTTCCTCCTTTAACTCACTATGACCGGTGTTCAGTGATGCTCCAGCGGAGAGGAAAAATTCCCATCATTGCTTTTATAAAGTAGCAAAGAAACATACTGCCTTCTCCCTAAGAATGTTTCATAGAGTTCCTTAGTTTTACCTCCTCGGCCTCATCTCAGTCAGGCATTTATCCACATGCCGAGCTTGAACAATATGAGCTGTCCTATTTCTGCGGGATTACTCACATGCTTAATTAGGAACCTAAGCGCCTGTCTGCAATAAAGCCTTAATTTCTAACAAAACTGAGTGTCAGACACTGTGCTTATTACTTGACGAAGGGCAGAAGGCAGGGAAACTTTGTGAAGAGCTGAAGCATGGCATCAGCTGATGCTCTGCGCCTCGCCACATTGCTTCACACCAGCATACTGATCTTAAATAATGCAAATAAACATCTAAGCGGCATTGACATTAGACTTGCTTAGCACATGCCAATCTCAACAGTGGTAAAAGGAGAAAAAGAGTGGTTTCACATCTCTTCAAAACTCAAGCACGTACGTGCTGTAGCTGGAAGTCAAAAATGACTAGGCAGTTTCAGCAGTCAAACAGATTGCCTACCCGTCACACGAAGCAGGTGAGATCATTGGTTCTGCTCTGAGAGGGCAGGGCAGCACTGGAGCAGGTTACCCACAAAGGCGGCAGAGCCTCGATCCCTGAAGGTTTTCAGGACTCGGCTAGATAAAGCCATGGCTGTTCTGCTCTAGAGCCGACAACAGAAGTGCTTCAAGTGGGAAGCCGGATCAGCTCACCCCAGAAGTCCCTGCCAACCCACATGTCTGTGATTCTTACCTTCCTTTCTTTCCTACCTCAGTGACAGTAAGAAGGCAAAATGCCATTTCGTATAATATTCCTAACATACAGCAGACTGCAAAAAGAAATCTGTTATTGGACATTTATTTGTTGATCTGTTACTCAGGTATAAATGCAATCAAATCCACCGCCTAGAGACTGCTGGCTGCTAGTAACTTTCCAGATTTTTCCCCCAAGTGCCTTCCTGCTAATACGAAATTATTCTTGCCATTCCTTTTATTCTCTGTGTTCCAGGGCTATCAGAAAAAGTCTGAAAAAAATCATAATCTGTGAAACCTATGTACCTTCTAACAATTTCTCATAATCAAGTGAGGATCTTCTGCGTTAGAAGTGTCCATCTTTCCCAAATACAGCTGAAACAACATTGTACATTATGCCAAAGAGTAAGGCTTGGATTCTGAAAGCTGTTCCACTCTGATAGGCATTTGTCCATAGATATGTGCAATACCGTTTATTTGAGTACTTTGCCTGTTTAAACAGGAAAATCTGCCTTTGTTGAGAAGCTAGAAGGATTGAAGCCTTGATCACAATGTCAATAAAAGGCAACATAGTGCACCTAAATTTATCCAGGATTTAAAAAAGAAATCAAAACTGTATGCAAAGTATCTTAATAGTATGTTAGCAAACTTTAAGAGTTGCTAGCTAAAATACACTGAAAATAATTGTTAAATAGGCAGTAAACACAAACTGCTAAGAGTGAAATACATACACTAAGTTAAAACTGTGATGAGACAGGACAGTAGATTGCATCATAGACTAATGCTATCATTGGACATAACCTCTATAATTAATTTACCAGATTGGGATTTTTCTAGCAGAGTAAAGAAGCATACATTACCTAACACTGCAATGAAAAACTTATGTCTGTGGCTAACCAGTCTCAGCAGTAAATCTCTGTAACCTTAAACTACTTTCTGCATTTTGGAGCTGTGTAACTTTTTCCAAGGTCATTCATGCATGGGGTTCAGATGCTGAGGCCATGACTTTGTCATTACCACAATATTGGCATCCTACATATATCTGAATAGGAAATTATATATTCACATTCTATTAGTTCCGTCTGTTTGTTTTTTTTTTTAATTTTAAAAAAAGTCTCCTTGGACTATGTGTAAGCTAGCAGGCAAAAGTAACCAAACTTTTTCACTGGTCTGTCTGCTGCACCAGTGAGGCAACTAAGAGAAGGTAAGTAGAGGCATGTGCTTATTCCCTGACTTTTTAATGAAAACTTCCTGCAAAAAAGGAAACATCTGTCATTTCAAATCCTGGTCTCGTCAAGAGTCAATGGGAGCTTTTCCACCCTGGAGTAAGCCTCTTCTAAAAGAGGTTCCTCTTCTAAAAAAACCCGCTCAAGTGTCTGCTTCTTTCCAAGTACCCAGCAAAGTCCACTGGAATGGTCCAACTCAAATCAATACTCTTGTCGACTTTTAAGGAGGTTTTTCCTATACATTCAAAATACTGCAACAAAAAAAAAAAGTCTTTAGAAAACAGTGTTCTGAGAAGCAATTTTTGTAATTTAATGGCATACGCAAATTTTGGTTGAAAAAATCCCAGTCCATTCTGCGGCAGAATGTCATTCTCAGGTAACATAGAGGTGATGTCTTTGAAGTCAGCAAGGTAGTTTGATGTGCATATAAGTGAAGTCAACAAGTTTATTCCAGTCTTTAAAATTATACATGTACATGCATGTAACTACTGTGATTCTTGTCTTTTTGTAGTTCCATTTTGGTAATGGCACTGTACTGAATTTGAAGTTGCCACAATAAAAGAGATGACTTTTGCTTAGGATAGTTCTGTATCTGAAAACAGCAAAAAACCCCCTCCTCTGCACCCAAAGCTACAGTTTCATTAAAGTTCCAGTAAGGGTTTAAAATAAAAAGACCAAATTTAAAGGCCATCTTTAATAAGGGTTTTAAAAGCCAATATTTTGTCTTAGATCTGTGCTACTTTATTAGAAAACACATGTGGAACAAAGCAAAAAGAGCATAAAATATGCACTTCTGCACTACACTCTATGTAAATGATTTTTCTAAAGGCAGACAGGAAGGTTCAAAGAACTGATAATGGTGTCTCCAACTTCTAAACCACCACTTCAAAAATCAGCTTCTATTGCTAAGGATCAAAAATATTATTATCTTAAAGTGATTTGGTGACCCATATAAAAAGACAAGTATACTCAAGCCTGACCTTTAGTAAACACATGCAGCATTAACCTCTACCTCTGGAATCCTTCCTGAAAATCTCAGCAGAGAAACCATGAAAACCAGGATCTGCACACTTGTAAGGCAACCCAGAGAGTCTGGCACTCATAACCCTGCTGCACTTGCTCCTCGGAGAACCAGGAAAGTTCAGGTTTTGCTGCTGTCCCATACAGTAATTTCTACAAGCATCTAGTACATTTATGTCTTTTTTCTAAACAAAGAAAGGGAAAAGACCTAACAGTGATGCCTTGGTAAGGTACTAAGATTATTCAAATTTCTGGTATACTCACAGTATGATTTCCATATTGGAGGCTGGTATTCTTCAGCATCTAAAATAGAAGCAAAAAGGGGGAAAGAAATCAGTCAATTGGCCACTGGGTCAAACTGTCGGCATGCATTTTTCTGCTGAGAGACCTCAGCTTGTCAGCAAAATTCACATTTCTTTCCCAAGAGAGATGCTAGCTCATTTACAGTACAGTTTCCTATGTGAGAAAAGAATATAAATTTCAACCACTTCTGGAAGAATATGCTTTTTCCAAATTACTCAAATGTAACAGGAATTAATTTCTTACCAATTTGCATATAGTTTCCCGACTCACCACTACTTTTAAATTAATTAACTAGACCGGTAACTACATTCTTTATTTACTTTACTTGGCATGATAAACAGACAAATCACTACTGGTTTTCAATCAGGCTTCTAACCCCACTATTAAGATTTTGGAATGAGCATCAATGAATAATACACGCCTTAGCTAAAAAGATGCACAGCTCAGGCTGGACTCTGATGCACAGACTCGACAGTTCCAACGAGATTCAATTACACTTCTTGAACCCACTAGAACATGTGATTGGCATATTTTCCAGAAACTGCATCAGCAAAAATAGTAATAAAAAGTTAGGAAAAGGCAAGACTGCAAAACCTGCAACTGGAAGCAGACAATTATTGCCCTTATCGACTGAAGGGGCACAAAAAGAGTTGGTATCTTTTCTGAGCGCGAGAGTTATACAATGCTGCTGGGTAGGCTTTTGGCAGTGGGAGCAGAGCTTCTGTGTTTAAAAGTGTAAGTTTGTAGAGTCTGAGCTAAAAAACCCCCGGTTTAAAAGCCCAGCAAGCAAAAGGCTCTCCGGGCTGGGAGGCAGACTGGTGCAACTGGAGGACGCGGCGAGTGTACGGTCCCACTCCACAGGGAGGTTGCCAGCTCTCTGCAGGAAAGGCTGCTGCTTCAACCTCCAGAAATCCCAGCAGAGGCCAAGCTTGAGCGGTAGGAGTTAAATAAGTTACCAGCCACAAAGGGTGGGGTACCGGGTACTAGTTTGGCTCTAAACTGCCAGGTTGCCAAACACTTTGAAGAGCCATTTACAGGGGTGTATGTCATTAATCTCCTAATACTGTGCAAGTTAATGACAGTGCTTGGTATTTACTAAACTTCTACTTAAGTTATGCTAATGTAATTCAGTTATAGTTGCATAGCTCATGCTCCCCGTCTATTTATACACACACAACCACTTTAAATATATCCCTGCAAAAGTTTGTTTACTAGGAATGTTAATCATTAACTACCATCTGCCACTTCTAACTCTATTGTTTTAAAAAATGATAAATCTAGCAACGATCACAGTTACTGCCTGGAATAATACCCTGCAACAATTTGCAGATACGTTGATTGGGAAACCCATTCAATTCCAGTTACAACTGTCTCCACTTCACAACTTTGGCAAAATTTAAAACGCTCCCAGACTGACAGAGTTATACCGTGCTGTGGCAATCCAAGAGTAATTAGCTTGCAAGTTCATTATACAGAAGGATTATTTCAAATTATATGAAGCTATTCATGAGACCAGTGAAATTTATTCATGCAAGAGCGGACTAATTTTTCCTCCTCTCACATTACAATGGTAATATATTACTCTTTTTTTTCCTATACATCTGTTGCTCCACATATAGTTTACCATAACACCATAATATTGTGTATTAAATTCCTCTGTCATACTTCTGCACTACTGCAAGAGAATTTCTGAATTTGCATGTTCACTTAATATATTTTTCCAATAGGAGAAACGATGAGATAATGCAAATATCTGATTATCTATACTCGTGACTTCAGAAAAAGAAAAAATAGTGGGAGAGACACTGAAAAAACGACGAGTATCAGCTGTTGCTTTAGTCTTCCAAATTCATTAGAAAGAGCACAGTAAATTGAACAGTGAAAGCTGATCTACAAGTGGCCATAAAGTGCTTCATTAGCTTGAGACAGACTGATGGTGTGGAAACACGGCAGCCTAGGTGGAGAACAATCATCCAGAAGATAGTCGTAAAACAAAACTCCTGATGATTACGTTAGATTTGTCACAGTTATGAATCTGTCAGCCCAGGAAAGAGCGGAGAGAACCATTCCTCAATAGCTAAAATAATTCTTAAGGGCAGCACACTCGGAGGAAAACCACGGGTCACCAGCTCCACGTTCGCCCCTACGAGGCACTGCAACATCCTCTGAGATCCCTTCAGCTGGTAACACGTCCCTAAATCACAGGGAACAAAACTCCATACAGGTGACAGTAGTAATACTGTTTATTGTCAAGCTATCATGCATGACATCTGATGGCATCAAATGGGGAATAAAGAACAATTAGTTTAAATACAACCTGGAGACAGAGGTCATGCTTAAGGATCAGGGAGATGTTTAATGGAGCCCAGACACAGACCTCTTGCTCCCTTTGTGGAAGGAGGCCACTGGGCCCCTGCCTAGGCGTGGGCCGTGCACAGCCGAAGATGCCGTTCTACACGCCTGTCGGCATGGAAATTAGCCTTAGGACAGCAATTACCACGTCTGAGTCACCAGAGAAATACATTGACTCTCCTCCTTGTATGATACAGTCTTAGGACTCCCATCCTGGATGCCTGGATTAGCCTAAACTTCAGCACTTCTTAAGTCAGGGGTCAAATGAAACAAATTCCTATCTGAGCAGACTGGATTATTACTATTTGCCCTTTTTTGAGATTTCTGTTCCGCTTCTTTTTTTATTAGCCCTCTTTTATTATACGGTAGCTCTACTCATTAAATCATGCTCCACTCCCCACCACTAGACTTAACTCAGCAGGTTCACAGAAGTTGCCAGTAATAGTTTGGGTGGTCGGCTCAGTTGCTACCTGACACCTCAAGTCCCACAGCTTCTGCCTTCACCTCTGGCAATGGTCTCAGCAAGGACCACAGACCTCAGTTTTGAGCCACTTCGCAAAAATCAATCAATCAGTCAATCAATCAGTCAGACTTGGCACAAATGACAAGTGCCCCACATTGAGCTCTCATTAAATGATATTCCTAATATGAACTTTAATCATAATGCCTATCACAACTGTGATTGGCAGCATGGGAAAAAGGATTCACTGACGTATTTTTAGGTGACAAGACAGGATCACTCCTATTGCTGTTTTCTTGAAGGGTTCACACTTTCAACAGTGACTTCTTGTCTAAATCAGAAACTGAGCCAGCTAAGGTTGAAAGCAGTTGTCGCAGGAGAAACTCGGAGCACAAGATGAGTATCAGTTCTGAAAAACTCAACAAAATGTCACAGGGCCAGCTATGATACACCTTTCTGAATCCAGAGAGACTCACTGTGAAAAAATTACTGAATGCCCAGTCTAGGTCTTTTGTATTATTTGTATATTTACAAAATACACATATTTTGTATATATATATACATGTAATAATATTTGTAGTATTATTTTGTATTATTCTTACCAATACTGTATCAGAAATGACCTCAGCAAAACCCGAAAAGCTAAGGAGTACTCACTGGAAAGACCAGAACTGGCAAAAAAGCATGAGAGACTTCCACGAATAGTATTACTGGCAATACTGTTAACTAAAAGCTTTGAAACATACCAGTTGAGAAGGTTAATATTTATTAGACCTAAAAAAGTAACTAGAAGTTAGCTGTATGCTAAACAGAAAGGCAAAAGGAATGGCGAATGCTGACTCTTGGAGAATATTACAGCTACCAGAAGGTTTCTCACTGCATACATAATTGACACGAAAAGTACCGGAGAAAATTCTCAAACCAAAAATGATACTGTGGAATTGGAAAGTGGAGTAAGGAAAAGCAGGTTAGTTCTTCCCTTAATTTGCTTTACTCTTCACAGAGTAGAGAGGATGAAAAGCATCTTAGGAATGAAATATTTTCATAAAGCTGATGGAGCACTGTAAAGCTGAATAAGTGTAAAAAAACACAGTAAAGGGAGTACTGAAAAGTTGGCAAAGCTTTAAGTAGACAGATAAAAAGTAAAACTACATAAGATTTTTTAAAGAAACATGAAGATAGAAAACAGTATTTCTGCAAATGACAGGTGGTAAATGGTTAATACATTACTCAGAGCCATTCTTAAGCAATTTCTGAGAAATGGGCTTACATTAATTGTATAGTAAGTAAAGTTACTCATGGACTTCAAACCTTGTTCTTCACCGTGCCTGGCTCTGTACCAAAGGTGACACCTTCCTGGATGTAGTTGTGAAAGACACTGGAATGACTGAATGGCTTTTTACTACTTCCTTGTACTTTGAGAAGATGATGATGTAATGCCAACCCCTGTGGGTTTGTGCTACCAGCACTGGGACTGACCTAGCTAAAGCAGGTCTAATAAGACACCAATTAAGCTAAAACTTCGATTCTTCTGACTACCAAGACTGGTAATGCACTGGAAAGAGGAAACTGTTTTACAGGAAAGATCACAAATTATGTCACATGAATCAAATATTTCTGACTTATAAGTGGCATTTCTCATTACAAGGGGAACAGTAACAAATATCCATACTGTAGCTATACGCCATGCCCAGTTCTAGATATTCTAAAAAGTATTAATGATTCCTATGGTAGTAAAGAGTTATGTAGACTAGTAGCAAGACAGCTACCAATGGGTGACCATCATTCTTTGCTAATTTCTTCACAGCCGCTATGAAAGAGGAGAAAAGATTTTTTTTTTGCCTTTGTCCTTACTATAGGATTATAAAAAATATACTGCAGTTCACCTTGGAAGAACTGCCTGAGCCTGGATTTTCTGCCTCCATTGTCTGAAGTTCAGACTTCCTTTCCAGTAACAACTAATTTTAAAACTATGACCTGCATGTGCAAGACAAGACACTTGTGTGTGAGGAAGAGCCAATTTGGAAGCCACTGGCTTACTGGCAGTGTGCAGACAAATGATTCACCGGATGAACAAGTCTAGTTACTAATTTTTTCATCTTCTATTGTTATTTTCAGGACCAAGACTAATAATTATTAGTATTTTAATGCCTTTTGTGTATTTCCTTTAAAGAAAGTTTTCACAGTT